ACCTCACCGGGGCCGTTTCAACCTCACCGGGGAGAAGTCATCTTTAGATCTAAGCTAACAACTGGAGAATTATACATTAGCCAGACAAAGGTCGGTGGAGGGAAGGACATTCCAGGGAAACGAAGGACATTGTGGAAGGCTCTGAACCAAGTGTAATGAGAATGGCAAGAGTGGATAGGAGGTTGAAAGGCAGAGCTGTACCACAGAGGGCCTTGTAGGTCATGAGTTTGAACTTGAGTATAAAGGCAGACATTGGAAGGCTTTAGTGGAGAAGTGGCATCCTCTAATTTACGTTTATACAAAGATGACCCTCTTGCTGCTGTGCACAGACTGGACAGAGGGAAACAAATAGGAATGGGGAGATCAGGAGACCACACTGTAGTACCCTGGCAAGAAGTTATCAAATCTTGGAAAAAGGCATTGGCTATAGTGCTGGGAGAAGTGAGCTGATTTAGGATGTAATTTGAAAGTAGAAATAATAGGACTTAGAGATTGTTTGATTATGGGAATAAGGAAGGAGGTGTCAAGAATGCCTTTCAGTTATAAAATAAAGTGATGGGGATATAATGCACAGCATAGTGATTATTGTTACTACTACTATACGGCATATTTCAAAGTTGCTAAGGGATAGATCTTTTTCATTTTTTTAAAATATACTTTTATTGATTTCAGAGGAGAGAGATAGAAACATCAATGATGAGAGAGAATCACTGATTGGCTGCCTCCTGCACACCCCCTACTGGGGATCAAGCCCACAACCTGGGCATGTGCTCTTGACTGGAATTGAACCCGGGATCCTTCAGTTCACAGGCTGACGCTTTATCCACTGAGCCAAACCAGCTAGGGCGTGGGATAGATCTTCAAAGTTCCTATCACAAGAAAAAGTATTTCGTAACTATGTATGGTTATAGATCAGGGGTGGGCAAACTTTTTGACTCGAGGGCCACAATGGGTTCTTAAACTGGACCGGAGGGCCGGAACAAAAGCATGAATGGAGTGTTTGTGTGAACTAATATAAATTCAAAGTAAACATCATTACACTCTATCCACTGAGCCAAACCAGCTAGGGCGTGGGATAGATCTTCAAAGTTCCTATCACAAGAAAAAGTATTTTGTAACTATGTATGGTTATAGATGTTAACTAGACTTGTGGTGATCAGTCCACAATATATACAAATATCAAATACTAGTATACACCTGAAACTAACTTAATATTATACACCACCACCAACAAAAGAAAATTCTTTCAACTCAGATTTGAAGGAATAAAATGAAATAAAAATTTTATAACTTAAAAAAAGAATGGCCTTCAGATTTTCAGCCTGAGTGACGGGGTGTGTGGAGGTAGCTTTTACTGAAATGGGAAACAGGAGGAAGCGCAGGTTTGTAGGAAAACTGTAACATTTTAAAATATGTTAAGTCTGAGACTCTTGAGACAACGGGCCTTTAAGAACTGGTCCGCAAAACATGCTGCCGTTGTGACATGGGCCATTTCTTATGCTTGCAGAGTAACCCTTGACACAATGCAGTCACATACATTTTCCAACATAAGCTTCACGGTAACTCTGAGACGAGCATGCATTACTATCCTCCCTTCATAGGTATAAATGGAGGCTCTCAAAGGGTGGGGCAATAACTCTCAGCTTGGACCTGTGGCTGCCAATCAAAGGGCTGTAAAGACAGTTACCATTTTTGTTTTGCTTTTAATCCTTACCAGAGGATATTTTCCCGTTGTTTAGAGCAGTGATGGCGAACCTATGACAGGCGAACTCATTTTTTGGTTGATTTTTCTTTGTTAGATGGCATTTAAATATATAAAATAAATATCAAAAATATAAACCTTTGTTTTACTATGGTTGCAAATATCAAAAAATTTCTATATGTGACATAGCACCAGAGTTAAGTTAGGGCTTTTCAAAATGCTGACACACCGAGCTCAAAAGGTTCGCCATCACTGGTTTAGAGAGTAGAATAGAAAGGGAAAGACAGAGAGAAACACCAATGTGAGAGAAACACATCAACTGGTTGCCTCCTGCGCGCGCCCTGACCAGGGCCGGGATGGGGGAGGAGCCTGCAACTGATGTAGTACCAGAATTGAACCCAGGACCCTTCGATCTGCAGGCCGGCGCTCTATCCACTGAGCCAAACAGGCTAGGGCAAGATAGTTATCATTTATGTAAACTCTCCTGACCTGCACACTGAATCCAAACCACTTGGCAAGTAAATTTGATCCATTCACTGGAGTTGAGAAGCCAGTGAGGGGACAAGACGACTGGTTGCCTCCTACGCGCGCCCTGACCAGGGCCAGGATGGGGGAGGAGCCTGCAACTGATGTAGTACCAAAATTGAACCCAGGACCCTTCGATCTGCAGGCCGGCGCTCTATCCACTGAGCCAAACAGGCTAGGGCAAGATAGTTATCATTTATGTAAACTCTCCTGACCTGCACACTGAATCCAAACCACTTGGCAAGTAAATTTGATCCATTCACTGGAGTTGAGAAGCCAGTGAGGGGACAAGTGCAGCAGCCTCTCACTCCAGACCCAGAGGGCTTCCGTCGGAGACAGCCTGAGAACAACGTGCTCTCAACATTAGACAGGCACTGACCTAAGAAGGAGCATTCAATTTGGACAGGAAGGAAATCCTGCCCTCCAGGCATTGAGATTTATTGAAAAACTACATACATATTAAAACCTCTTTACATACATCTTCCTCATTACAAGATTACAAATATACAAACATGAAATCTGTCAAAGTCAGCATCTTGTGCATTAGAAACAACTGGAGAAAACCTATTCCCTAATTTCATCAATTAAATTGGTGTTCCCTACCTGTCAATAAAAAATTGGCACAATTCATCCAACTTCCCAAGTTCAACTCCGGATTGTGAAACCACATTATTCACAGGGAATGTTTTTCCTAAAGCAGCAGTGATAGTCAGTTCTGAGGGGGAAAAATGCGTAAAATCTGAGTGCCTCATGGTAGTTTAGGGAAACTCAGGAGAGTGATGGCAATTCTTATATCTACACTAATAAAAGAGAAACATGCAAGTTGGCGTCACTCCGCTACGCCCACCAGCCAATCAGATGAGTATGCAAATTAACCCAACAAAGATGGCGGCTAATTTGCATACACAGGAGCATGGAGCAAACACTGAAGACAACACTGAAGACAACGTAGAAGGAAGCCAAGTGCTGCAGAAGGGAGTGAAGCCGTGGAGAAGCAAGCGGGGCAGCGGAGACGAGAGGGAAGCCGGCGGGGCGGCGGAGGCGGGAGTGAAGCCTGCCTCAGCGGGTTTCGCTCCCTTCGCTGCTTCGCTCCAGCCACAGGAAGCCCTATTCTTGCAGGAATAGGCCCGAGGAAGCCCTATTCTTGCAGGAATCTTCCTGCAACGGGCCTCTAGTAAGTATATATTTCCCTAGTTTAACATAAAGAAAATCAAGAAGGACAAATAAAACTAATGAATATAGCTGCCTATAGAGGGGTATAGGTGGGCAGAGTATAGGGAGTAGGATATAGGCAAGACTTCTCTGATTAGAACTTTTTTTTCAAAGATATTATATGCATACTAGAGGCCCAGTGCATGGGTTCATGCACTGATGGGGTCCCTCAGCCTGGCCTGCAGGGGATCGGGCTGAACCGGGCAGTCCGACATCCCCTGAGGGGTCACGGATTGCAAGAGGGCGCAAGTCAGGCTGAGGGACCCCACCAGTGCACGATCTAGTGTGTGTGTGTGTGTGTGTGTGTGTGTGTGTGTATAAAATCCTCACCCAACAACATGCTTATTGATTTTAAAAAAAAAAGAAGGGGGAGAAGAGAGAGAGAGAGAGAGAGGGAGAGACATTGATTGGTTGCCTTCCACATGCACCCTGAGCGGAGATTGAACCTGAAACCCAGGTATATGCTCTGACCGGTAATCAAACCCTCAGCCTTTTGGTGCACAGGATGACGCTCCACAACTGAGCCACACAAGCCAGGACTCTCTTAACAATATTTTGATTAAACTCCATGATGGCCTTCTCTCAAAATAGGTAATGAAGTATTAAATTGCCTCTGGTTATACTTCTTTTTGTCAGGATGAGAAGGGATGTCCTTGAACAAGTGTTTCCAATTGAGAATTTAGTCCCAGGAGAGAGCTCTCTGTCCCATGGGATATCTCATGTTGCATCTTCATCCTCATATACCAGAAAATTGGGGCCAACATCTTTCTGACTTGAGTACCAGTGTGAGTCCACATCATAAAGGAAGCAAAGGTTTGCTGGACACTTGGGGCTCTTGGGAAGAGGAAACAGGAAAATGAAAAGGGCAAGACTAATGGACAGCCCAGAGGTGCGTAGGTCCTCTAAGAAGTAGCTCTTTCACTGGGTCCTGGTCACCATGGCACAGATCTGAGGGGCATGAAGGAGTCATGCTGGTACTGACAGTCACTGCTTTCTGTACGTTTCTGTAATGCCACACTTTTCCCTCCTCCTCCTCTTCCTCAAGCCCTCCTTTCACAAAGGTATCAACCCAGGAAGCTGTTAGGATAAAATGGCAAATATTTAATGAAGGAACTAAGTCTTCACCCAAGTATCCCATGAGTCAATGTTGTAAACCTTGCAGAATTAAGATTAGTGGCCAACCCAGGAAATAATACTGGGACAGGAAAGAGTTGTCCAGAGCCATGCAGTGGAAAGAACTGGAGTCTCTGTCCGCAATTTTAATGCATCGATTCTGAAGGAAGGGAAGACCCATCCACGTGAGCATCGATTCCAACTTTCAATGCCAGAACTTCTCAAAGCAGTCTCAAAGTAGGCACTGGCACCCCCCTGGTGTTAGCTTTCCAAGTATGTGAAGATGCTCTGCTTCGATCCTGAAGTGCTATCACCTGTTTTGAGGCGCTTAGGTGAAGGCGTTCTCATTACGGATGGGCCCTTTCTCCTCACCTGGAGAGCAGAGAGAGAGAGTCACGGCCAGCTCAAAACTCTCATGGCAGTGCTTACCTTCAACCAGCTCTTTAGCTAATTTACTCAGAGTTAAATCATAAACGATTAATGACAGAAAAAAAAAGAAACAAAGTTTCCAGAAATGCAAATCTGAAAACTGATTACCTATTGGGGGTAGCAATCCCCTTGTACCTTACTGAGGAGTGCAAGATTAACACCGCAGCATAAGCCTTTATGCCGGAAATACGTATTTTTTTAAATTAACAAATAAATAAATTCTGCTTTGCGAAGCCATCAAATCAGTTCTCAAATTCCCTACCTGAGGCTTGGATGATTCCTTTGCTGCCTCAGCCTTGACAGGAGAAAGTGTATGGAAGACAAAGTTTCTTGAATTTCGGGGAGCACTGGGGTTGAGGTCAGAGAGGGCAGCCAGTTTCTGAAGTACAGCTTTGGGCTGGTTTAGCAGTGAGCCTGTCTTTGGCTGAGGAAAGAAGAGTCATTTGGTGTCAAAATCCAAGTGCCAAAGAAAGAATGAGAAGTCGCTGTCTCCCTGAGGACATATTCCTACCCCACTCGGTAGAAGAGAAATAGCAGGGTCCTTTGCCATGGACTTCTATTTCCTGCAGCCACCTCCCTCCCGCAATGAGAGTATTCCCCTAGCTTGACCTGGGCCTTTATAACACTGTAGATCATGACGTCAGGCTAACAATGTCCCCAACCAACCTGGTGGGCACTTCCCGGTCTGATGGCTTCAAAAGGATTTCTGAGTAAAGGTGCTGATTCTTGTATAACCACAGTGCGATTGGCTGAAAAGAAAAAAAAGACAGAGAGGCTTGTTCTGGGCAAAATTAGGGAGAATTACTTTTAAATCTAAACAAGCTAAGAGGCCTTTAACTAAACCAATAAACTAAAGCCACAGGAACTCTGATTACTTTATAATGGTGACTTGAAACCATAGCAAGTGGCTACAAGAAGACAGTCAACCAAGCTGAACTTACTGACTAATCACTAACAGTAATAAGAAAAAACAAGAATGGTAAAGTGTGGAGTATGTTTAAGAGCTTCAGCTCTGGAGTTAGATATATCTGGCTTCAAATTCCAGCTCAAACACTTAGGTATTTAATGCTGGGCAACTAAATAAAAAATCCAGAATTCATTCCTATGAACTATCTTAGAACATAAAGCAAAACCAGCTACCTACACTCATAAGTACAACATGCACAGCCCAACAGACAAAGATCCAAGAACACTGTCTCTCCCTGCTTCTTTAAGACAATATGAGACACAGGCCCATGGCTAGGCTACAACAGCCGCTGAAGGTTGGAGTCAGCTCCAGGGGACTAGACCCTGAGGAGGACCAGAAGCTCACCATTTTTCTGCAATGCTTTGGCTGTAACTTTCTTGGCCAGCATCATAAACTGACTGTCTTCTCCAATTTCTTCCTCTTCAGGTGCAATTTTCCCCTGCTCTGCCTTTAGATAAAAATCAGCATTAACAGAAATCCACAACTCCCCCAAATAATTGGCATAGCCTGGATTGTGAAGCTAAGATACCTGGGATATCATTTGTTTTCCTTTTTTTGCAACCTTTTCTTACTTTAGACCCCCCCAAAAAGAGATTTTGGACCAACAAACATGAACAAATGCCCATGGTGAACCTTCTCTAAGCACAAAAGGAAATTCAAGGATTAAAAGGAACAGCAATATGCTGCCCAAGACTTTGAAACTATTGTGACAAGCTAGGTGACTAGGTCCTCTCCTCATACCCTAGGGTCAAAAGAGGTGAATTTCTTGCAAACTTCCTACCTGGTCCCGAAGCCACTGCTCTCGTTGAATTCGCTCCTTCCTCCATCTGGCTTCTGTCTCATCAAGCTGTTCCTCGATCTGTTCATCGTCAGAGTCTCTGTGGAACAAGTCCATCTGGGAGGCATCATCTAAAGCAAAGAGGTAAGGCTATCAGCACTCTGTAATTCCCATAGGAGAGGACACCTAGACAGACACAAATGAACTCTTAGCATTTACTATACTGGCACAAACTCTACCCATCCACTAATAGAAAATAATGGTTACAACCAGGTCCTCCACAACAGCCAGCTACGGTTTTGATTTCCATTGTCATCTTAAACTGGACAAACATGCACATTACACCATTTGCTTTCTAAAGACAACAACCAAGCCCAGCCAGCGTGGCTCAGTGGTTGAGCATCTATGAACCAGGAGGTGATGGCTTGATTCCTGGTCAGGGCACATGCCCAGGTTGTGGCTCAATCCCAGTGGGGGGAGTACAGGAGGCAGCCAATCAATGATTCTCTCTCGTCACTGATGTTTCTGTCTCTCTCTCTCCCTCACCCTTCCTCTCTAAAATCAATTAAAAAAAAAAGACAACCACCAAGATACCTATGTTTTTCCATCGAAATTTCCTCGTTCGTCCAGGACCATCACTGTGCAGATCCCCATCAGCAAGGTACCTCTCTTGGTATAAACGGAGCTGTCGCTTATCATCATCCAACATTGTTTTCCTACAACAGGAGAAGTAATGGTGTTCAAATCGAGCACCACTCTGGCTGACTATAGGGCTGCCTTAAGACATATCCCATTACTTGGAAGGGCTTGTTGGGATACTGACATGTGTATTTTCTTGATTTGACTCTGTAGTTCCTCATCAGAAGGAAGTACTTCATCAATTACGTCCTCTTCATATTCATCAATCTCTTCCCCATCATACTCGTCTTCACTTCCCACATCACTCCCTGACACCTCGGCCTCATCCTCCAGGTATCTCTTCAATCTCCTGGAAAATAATTTTGAAGAATAGAGAATGCAACAATGAATACACACACAGAATATGGAAGCAATGAGAAAAGTAGAATATAGAGCCACCTCAAATAATATTACATTTAACTTTATAGTAATACATTTTGATAACACTTAAAAGTCTATCATTTCATAATACTGTGTGCCAGTAACTGTGCTTTACAGACACCATTGCCTTATCTTAGGAGGGGGTACTATTATTCCCTTCAATTTACAGTTGAAGGAACTGAGACTCAGAGAATAAACTACTTATCCAAGGTCACACAGCTAGGACGTAGCAGAGCCTAGATTTAATCAGGTTGGTGACTTTAAAGCCAGAACTCTCAATCTCCTCTATATATTTGAGACATACCTGCTAAGAGGTTCAAACTATCTTGTTTTGTATTTAAGCTCACCAGGAGACACAATGGTACAGAAAGGAAATAGACTTGGATCTCTTACAATCCACCAAGACCCAAGTTATAGGCATGATTGAGGCTCAGAGTTACTGATGATCAAAACCACTGCTAGTTAGTTCTTCAGTTCCCACTGAGAACAAATCTGCTGCCACTCTGAGTTCAAAGTCCTGTTATCCATGGCCATGCCTGGCAGAAGTTTGATGGCTTTCTGAAAGCTGATTTTTATCAAAGACTTGTTTTTAAATTGATTTGAGAGAGAGAGAGGAGGAGCAGGAGAAAGAGATAGAAAGAGAGAGGGGGGCATCAATTTGTTGTTTTGTTTATTTATGCATTCATTGGTTTACTCTTATATGTCCCCTCACCGGGGATTGAACCCGCAACCTTGGCATGGGGACAATGCTCTAACCAACTGAGCTACCTGGCCAGGGCCTTGTTTGTTTTTTTAAAGTTGAGTTTCTCTAAATCCTAGCATTTCTGCAGAATTCTTTGAGGAGTTCAACTTTTAGCTGTCATTCTTTATAAGATTTCATTCGGATTCTGCAGTTAAATATGGTTTAAGATCCACTGCTTTAGAAAAATCTATAGATGATCCACAGCTGTATAAGATAGTTAATTCAACAGGTGATAAATCAGAACCCAAAACTGATTTTAATAGAATGGAATGATGGGCTAAAAACAATAATATAAATCTAATAGGAATCAATATGATCCTATATGTGAATCCCAAAAGTCATCCACATCCTATATAATAAAAGGCTAATATGCAAATCGACCGAGTAGCGGAACAATTGGTCGCTATGATGTGCACTGACCACCAGGGGGCAGACACTCAACACAGGAGCTGCCCTCTGGTGATCAGTGCACTCCCACAGGGGGAGCACCGCTCAGCCAGAAGCCAGGCTCACAGCTGGCGAGCGCAGTGGCAGTGGTGGGAGCCTCTCTCGCCTCCGTGACAGCGCTAAGGATGTCTGACTGCCGCTTAGGCCCACTTTCCCGAGGGATCCTGGACTGCGAGAGAGCACAGGCTGGGCTGAGGGACCCCTCCCCCGACAACCCCTGTGCACAAATTTCATGCACCGGGCCTCTAGTAAAGTATAATACTCAATGCCTATTAAAATGTTCTTAATAAAACTTGTAACATCATGGGAAATTGCTTATGAATACACTAAGTGGGAAAGAAAGTAAAATTGTACATATAAAAAATTATACAGATCCCAACTATATAAAAATATATGCATAATAAAAGTTAATAGCCACCATCATCAAAATTCTGGATGGTGAACACAGATGACTTTTATTTAATCTTTCTATATTCTTTTAAATATTCTAAAATAAATGGCTTACTTTCATGATCAGCCTGCCCTGTAATTGTTCCCCAGCCTCAGTCCCACATCATCAGGCTGTGCATTGGCCATTGGAACTTTTATGGTCAAAACAGATCTCCCTTCCTCATTCTGCTACCAAGCAGCTCCCCCTCCCAACTTCTCTTTTGTCTAGCCCTCTTATCTGACATTAATTTAGGCTTGAAAACTTTACAATTTGGGCTGCTTTCTCTCCTTTAGCCCTAATATTTAATAAAGCAACATAGTCTGATTTATCTTTCTTTTGAAATGATCACTCATATTTTCCCTTTCTCTGTCATTTCTAAGTTTGATCCAAATGTGAGGTTCATGCTTGGATTAGTGCAATGGTTCTCAAGGTGTAGTCCCCAAATAGCACGATCAGCATCACCTTTTACAAATGCAGATTCTCAGCCTTATCCCAGACCTACCACTGCATCAGAAGCCCTGGGGGTGGGGCCCAGCCTCTGCATCTTATCACACCCTCCAGGGGATGCTGGTGCACATGAGAGTTTGAGAACCTGTGGGTTAGCGCAAGAGTTTCCCGTGATCCCACCATAATCCATCCTGATTATGGCTACCAGTTTCTTTTACTACAGTCTTAATTATTGCCGGATCCCTGTTCCAGAATCACTGATGGCTCCCAATTCTCTGCCTCATAAGCTAACTCTGCCACCTACCTTTTGAAGTTTCATTATTGGGCTTCATCTCTCCAAACTTGTTCTCACTAAACTTTCTAAGAAACTCTGCATTCTAGTTGTGACAGTGTGGTTACTTTAAGTATTTTTATTGATTTTTACAGAGAGGTGGGAGAGAAAGAGAGAAACATTAATGATGAGGGAGAATCATGGATCGGCTGCCTCCTGCACGCCCCCTACTGGGGATCGAGTCCGCAACATGGTACGTGCCCTTGCCGGAATCGAACCCGGGACCCCCCAGTCCGCAGGCCGACGCTCCATCCACCGAGCCAAGCCGGCCAGGGCCTTAACCATTTTTTTCAACATTTTTTATGTTTTTATTTAAATTGATTTGAGAGAGGAAGGGAGAGGGAAAAAGAGATAGAAACATCAATGATGAGAGAAAATCATCAATCGGATGCCTTCTGGGAACTGAGCCTGCAACCCAGGCATGTGCCCTGATCAGGAATTGAACAGATACCTCTGAGCCACACCAGCCAAGCCCATTTTTAAGTGTACAGTTCACTAGTGTTAAGTGCATTCACAATGTTGTGAATTAACTTTCAGAACCCTTTTCATCTTGCAAAACTAAAACTCTATACCCTTTAAACAACTCCTCATTCTTCCCTCCTCCCAGTCCCTAGCAACCATCTTCTACTTTCTGTCTCAATGAATTTGACTATTCTAAGTGCCTCAAATAAGTGGAATCACATAGTATTTGTATTTTTGTGATTGGCTTATTTCAGTTAGCATAACATCCTCACAGTTCATCCATGATATAGCATTAATCAGAATTTCTTTCCTTTTTAAGGCTGAATAATATTCCATTGTATATGTATATAACATACACACAACACATTTTGTATCCATTTGGGTTATTTCACCTTTTGACTATTAAAAATAATGCTGCTATAAACATGGGGGTACAAATATCTGAGTCCCTGTTTTCACTTCTTTTGTACATTAACCCAAAAGTGGAAATGCTGAATCATATTCTATTTTGAATATTTTTTTAGGAACTGCCATTCTGTTTTCCATAGCAGCTTATGTTTACATTCCTACCAACAGAGCACAAGGATTCCAATTTCTCCATATCCCCACCAATAGTTGTTATTTTCTGGACAGTTTTTTTTTGTGTGTGTGTATGTGTGTGTTGTTGTTGTTTTTGTGTTTTTTTAATAGTAGCCATTTTAATGGGTGTGAGGTAGTATCTTATCGTGATTTTGACTTGCATTTCCCTAATTATTAGTGATTTTGAGCACTTTCATGTGCTTATTTTTGCCGCCCTCCCTTTTTTGATTTTGCTTTATTCTCCACCAACTAAATAAAAGCATTATAGTTTCCTTATCTTATCGTGATTTTGACTTGCATTTCCCTAATTATTAGTGATTTTGAACACTTTCATGTGCTTATTTTTGCCCCCCCTTTTGTTTTTGCTCTATTCTCCACCAACTAAATAAAAGCATTATAGTTTCCTTAGATACAAATATGAGACTCAGATCCACTGTAATGCTCTCAAACAAGTTAAGAAGCCCTCGTGATGGCCGGTTGTTGCTAAATCCAGAGAACCTGACCCCAGAATTTTATCAGAAGACCAGGCCTTCCCAAGTTCCCACCAATCACTGAGACTCACCTGTCTGTTGGGAAAGAGCCTGAACAAAGAGCAAGTGCTTCTTCCATGGGATCATCCATGCTGCTCTCCTTCTCCTGTTTATTTAACTCTGATGGAGCCAGAGCGGAGTCATCTACATCACAACAAAAAAAAAGATCTGTCTCCAAGGAATGACAGCTTTATCCTCCTTTCCCAGCCATCTGAGACATGCCAGCTCAATACAGTTCTAAAGTACGCTTGCCAAAAAGACCTCACCAGCTATTCATTCATTCAACAAATCCTTATTTAGTGCTTACCATGTGCCAGGCACCAGGGATACAATAGTGAACAAAACAAAGATCCCAACTTCCACAGAGCTTACATTTTAGCAGGAGTGTCGGGGAGAAGAGAAGGTGTGCAGGTAGGAACAACAAATTAACATTTATATTAAATTTACCTCACACCAGACACTTTTCTAAGCTTTGCACAAATATTAAGAGCAATCTTAAGTCGACATACCGCCCTAAGGAAAGGGCTCTGGTGAATGTCAGGGAGCTAAGCTGTGAATTCAACCTACACACAAGAATCCATCACACTCTGTTTTCTGCAAACCTTTCACCCAAGAGTAAGGGGCTTCTTTTCAAGGATACTGGCTTAAGGTAGTTGGTTGTGGCAAGCCTGATGCGCTTTGTTGGATATTTACCCTGGGAGGTGAATTTTCCTGAACAAAGATTCAGAAGTTCCTCCATGTTCTCTTTCTTGTCACTCTTCCCGGGCAGAGCCTTCTCCGCCTGAGAAGTGAATTTTCCAGTGCACAAATCCAGCAGCTCATCCATGTTAGCGTCCATGGCATTCTCATCCATATTGGCCAATGGCAATCGAGGTTTCAAAGCTTGGTACTGATTCCTGTGGTTTCTAACATTTAAGAACCTACAAGCACAATGAAGAGTGTAAGAAATGCTCTAGGGGGAAAAACAAAGTAGTGGGAGAAAAACTCAACTCATTTCCATTACCAAAGTTAGAAGCTGAATCCCAAACCAGAAGACAAAAGAGTCAACCTTCAGCCTTATGATAATCCAAAGGGGGAAAGTTTTACGAAAGAATAAATGCTATTCAGAAGGTAAAGGGTAAAGGGATAATTTTGGCTTCAGATGATGTTAGAGTAGGACTTGGTGTTATGGCCATGTAATGCACCACAGGCCTGTCAATTTTCTTTTTCTTTCTTTTTTTTTTTAAATATATTTTATTGATTTTTTACAGAGAGGAAGGGAGAGAGAT